GAACCGGGCTGGGCAGGAGCCCTGTGTTCACCTCCGCCGTGAACCGGGCTGGGCAGGAGGCCCGCAGTCACCTCTGCGATGTGCAGAAGAATGTGCCGAGGGATCTGCATGATACAACCGAGATAGTCTGATGTTTTAGAGTTGGCGCTTCAGCTCTGATGTGTAATCCTTCAAGCCCCAGGAGGTCACAGCCTGTGTCTCAAGGCTGATCCTAGTGGCAGTGTGGAGCACTGGCTCTTCATCCCATCTCTGCTGCCTGTCACACAAGGGAACACCGGGGGTCCAGGGAAGCACTACCTGCTGTCTTCCAAAACCACACATGAGCATCTCAGTCCGACCGATATGCATTGCTAAAAGCCAGCTGAAGGGATAAGGCAAAGTCCTGCCAGCTCTGTACCTCTCAGTACATGGAAGTAGGGTCAGGCTTAGCCGAAATGGAGACACTTGCTCCTCCTTTCCAGAGAGGTGTCCAGGTGGTTCTCCGCACCACGGGAACGACCTCTTCTGTGCAGCCTACGCACCCTTAGTGCGGGCAGCACCCACACCTGGAGACGCCCTTCCCATCTTCCGTCCTCATGTGCACTTGACCCCAGCACCATACCCCCTAGATCCAGTCACCCCTGTAAAGACCCCCTCTGACTGCATGAGCCTCCTGTGGAACATCAGACTAGCCCTAGCACCTGCCTGGGGTCTATCTCACTGTGATAAAAACACATTCAGGGAGCTAGGAGGTGTTGTAGTGTGGGCAGTCTTGAGGTACTTACTTTTACAGCAAAGGACGTGGGAAACTTCTGTGGAGCTGGGCTCCCTGGGGCAGTGTTACGAAGGGGTAGGTTTGGGTTGGGGTCGGGCTGGGTGGGCTCTGGGCCTTCCAGGCAGCGCTGGGTCTGACTTTCCTGTCCCTGAAGGCTGGTGAGCTGCTGTCTCACGTCTGCATGCTGTGAGGACCTCGCCACGGTGCTTAGTGCCAGCTGCTCACTGACCAGACTCTACATCGGGGAGAACGCCCTGGGTGACGTGGGGGTTGGCACCCTGTGTGCCAAGGCCCGGTGGTCAGAGAGTCCCCTGCAGAAGCTTGGGTGAGTGATGGGGGCCTTGCTGTGGAAAGGCACATGCGCTTCAGCATGAATTACTGAAGGGTGAGCAAGCTGCCCATAAAGAGGTGGCTCAGATGAAGTCTGCACAGGGAACCATGTCCCAAGTGGCTTGAAGCACCAAATTCATGTGACACAGTTAGCACTGGATCCACTGGTCCCGTGCCACAGGTCTCCTAGTCATGGTTTAGGTGCCAGGGCCAACGTTACTTGGAAAGGCTGTCTGCTGAACAGGCACACGCCTGCACTTGCTCCCTGGGCACACGGTGTGAGTACCTGCCGGCCAGGGTGGCCCCTGCGTGGGGACAGTACTTGTCTCTGGTGCTGTGCTTCATTCCCATCCTGCATGGAGCCACCTCTAGGTCCTTCCAGGTCCTTCCTTGGTGTCCTGAGCAAAGAATCAGCCAGACTCAGGAAAAGCCACCAGGGTGCGCCTTGGCTGCAGGTGGCGAGGAAGCGTGTTCTGCAGAGTGAGCTAGGCTGGTAAGAGGACTCACAGAACCCAGGATGGGGGAAGGGTCCTCTGCACTCCAAATTCCTGGGTCATTTATCTGCCTTGATTGTAAATGAGGCATTGGGACAATAGTCCCATCAAGTACTCACCTGGCACCAGCCACAGTCCTATCAGGAAGCTCTTGGGTACCAATGTGTAAATGACAGATCAGAACAGGGCCTCTCAGGGCTGCCCAATAGCTCAGCTGATTAAAGCACCTGCAAGCAGGCGCAGGGGCTGGGGGTTCGATCCTGGGTCGTGCTGTGCCGGCCCTGCCCTGGGGTGCACTGAGACAGCAATTGAGGCTGGGCATAGTGGTGCGCACCTGTAATCCC